ACAACATCGACGAAGAATACGAACGGTTTGTACAACATCTCCACGGTTGTGCCAAGGAAGCTCAGAGGATAAGAAGTACAGAAGGCGTCTCACCACGGGGACTTTGGAGCTGATACGCCAACGTGGACGCGCACGAGCCACAGGCAACTACCGACTGACGTCCGAGCTTGCGAAGCGATGCAGAGAAGCGATAAAAGAAGACCTTAAGGAGAGAAGAGTAGCAGTGATGGTTGACGCCGCGGAGGCTGGAAGAAGTATACGCAACGCCCGCCGAAGCTTCGTCAACTTCAAGACAAAGATGACCGCACTTCGTCGTCCTGACGGAACCATAACTGCTTCCCGAAGATCAATGGAGAAGGTCATCCACGACTTCTACTCGGATCTTTTTGCGAGCCACGTCCACCTTCCACCATGCCATCTCAAGGAGGACGAGTATGTCGCACCGTCTGTTCATCCTTCCGAGATTCGTCATGCTATCATGTCGATGAAAAACCGTACAGCACCCGGTCCCGACAGGATTAAGCCAGAACATCTGAAGAATCTTTCGCCAGTTCTCATCAAGACTTTGGCAAGGCTCTTCACGCGGTACCTGACGGAAGGCAAGGTTCCAAGGCAATGGAAGACCAGCAAAACCGTGTTGCTGTACAAGAAGGGAGATCCCTGCGACATCGGCAATTATCGCCCTATCTGCTTGTTGTCTGTAGTCTACAAACTCTTTACGCGAGTCATTCTCAACAGGATCGGAAGAGAGTTGGACGAAGGACAACCATGCGAGCAAGCTGGGTTTCGAAGAGGATTCAGCACGATCGACCACATACACACGGTGTCAAGGCTCATTGAAGTGTCACGAGAGTATAAGATGCCGCTCTGTCTCACCTTCATCGACTTGAAGAAGGCCTTTGACTCGGTTGAGACTGAAGCCGTCATCGATGCCTTGAGCAATCAAGGTATTCCGACTCATTACATCAAGATAATTCGTGAGCTGTATAACGACTTCACAACCACCATAATACCATTCTACAAGGACATCATCATTGACGTGAAGAGAGGCGTGCGACAAGGCGATACTATATCGCCGAAACTATTCAGTGCCGCTCTGGAGAACGTCATGCGTAAGTTGGAATGGGAAAACATGGGAGTGAAAGTCGACGGCCGGCAGCTACACCACCTTCGCTTTGCTGATGACATCGTATTGATAACACCAAGCATCACGCAGGCGGAACAAATGCTGGCCCAGTTTGACGAAGTGTGTGGAAAGATCGGTCTACGGCTGAATCTAACGAAGACGATGTTCATGAGGAACGGAAGAGTGCCTGATGCTCCTTTCATGCTCAACGGGACGAACATCACCGAATGCTCAAGCTACACCTACCTAGGTCGTGAACTCAATATGATGAACGATCTAGCTCCGGAACTGAGCAGGAGGAAACGTGCAGCATGGGGAGCATATAAGACAATTGAGGACGTAGTGAAGAAGACCAAGAACATCCGGCTCCGCGCCCACCTTTTCAACTCGACGGTTCTTCCTGCTTTGACGTACGCTTCAGAAACATGGACAATGAGAAAGCAGGATGAACACGCGGTTAGCGTCATCGAACGAGCTGTTGAGAGAGTGATGCTAGGAGTGAATCGACTCACGCAAGTGAGGCAAGGATTACGAAGTTCTACCCTACGTCAACGATCGAAGATCAGGGACGCTGCCGCGTACGCCAAGCAGAACAAGATAAGATGGGCCGGGCACGTAATGCGTTTCGACGACAACCGGTGGACGAGAGCTGTAACAGATTGGATACCACTGGACGTCAAACGCGAACGAGGAAGACCGCCGACGCGATGGTCAGATATGTTCACGAAGTTCTCTAATGAAGTCCTTCAGAGCGTTCCACGTGTTCCTGGTGCGATACGTAAACATTGGTCAACAATCGCCCGAGACAGGGACGAATGGAGGCATCACTGGTACCCGCTCGTGCAACACGATGATCAACGGGGATACAGGTGATACAGGTGAACTCTTTAACTAATCAAAAAACTGTGCTTCGAAATCAGTGACAGAATGGATGGGGAGTCATGTTGTGGACATGCTCCTCAGACAGTTCGGACCCGCGGGGGGCAATCCAGCCACGTTTGAGCCGCGGTGGACACTCTTAACACGTTTCGGACCGCGAAATCGCGCGCGGCGAAAAAGAGTGTACTTTCAGCCGTTAGCCTACAAAGGGACCTTATTTCGCAGCCTGTGGGCCACATTTGTAATCAGCATGTCAGATAAGCTCCATATCCAAAGTTCTGAGTGAATTCGAAGTGTTTGAATTTTGTCGCTTGAGAGGGACTTTTGTGCTTTCTTGAAAGATAGGAACAAGAACTCAGATTCTAATAGTATTCAAAAGTATCTATGTTGTACACGGTACACATCATTATTGAAACTAGGGTTTTTCTCTTCGAAATCAAAGCAAAGAAAAGTTGCGACGTCGCACGCGTCGTTCGCGTCGCCGCACTCCGTTGCAACTGTTGTTCGATTTGTGCTCATACCTCCTAAACAAATAGCGGCGGCACAACTCTACAGAGTCACTTGGAAAGTAGAAGCTCTAGCCTTTGACTTGATAACCTTGGGCTAAGAGAAAACCTCCTGTAAACGTCAAAAAGATCCTTCAAAGCAGGGTGCTGCACCATGTGCAGCACCGGTCCGAAACGTGTTAACCAATGGAAGACAAGGGCAAGGGGCGGGCCACTCGGTGTGACGTCACATGGAAGCCGCAGTCTCATCCGCGGAGCAGTTTTTCGCTTATTCGAAGCCTTTTCGCCATGAGGAACCCATATCTGAGCGTTTCAACGCATGAAAATAGCTAAAATGAGCCTTTTTCGAAGCTTTCCAGGTCCACAATCAGCGAAAATACGCCGGAAGTCTTCCGTGCCCCGCTTTGCTCGTTCCGGACCCCGCCCATATAACGTATTCTTTACTGAATGCGGACCTAGAAGCTTCGGAAAAGTTCGTCCCCGCCATTTTCATGCGCTGAAAAGCCATAGAATCCCCATGACGAAAAGGCTCCGAAAAGGTGAAGAACCGGAAAACAAAACTTTACCAACACTGCCTCTAAACGCTGGGAGCAGCTCATTCAGTTCATATCTAATGTACAAGGACGACGACGACTTTGCCAAATTTTGCATCACTAGCTAATGAGAAGAGCCATTCCAGGCAAAATCCTGGTCAACGCACAAAAGTGTTTGCGTATAGGCCAAAATGTACATTCTGCTTATGACAACTATCTCGTGTGTAAGACTCCGGAGGAGAGTAGGAAATCCAGATGGATTGTTCTGAAAGTGCCTGCTTTTCTAGACGGAAAAAGCTTCAGAGAGTTGGTGAGCCCATTTCATTTATGGTGAAAGACCGGAAATAGTTAAAACTACATATAACAGTGCAGCCATGCTATTTCCTTCTGTAAAGAAATACTTCGAGCCAATTCTGTCATGGGAAAAAGGCGAAAACAATCGTGAAAGTAGGAATCCACTGCTGTCACATTTCTCATTTGCAAGCTCAGACTGTATGCATTATTTTTTGTTACATTTTTTTGTTATTTATTTATTTATGTACTGTATACTACAAGCCCTTATAAGTATAACCGTAAATTTTCAGCTTACTGCAAGCGCTGGTTTTCGGAAAATACCAAATTTAGCTTTTCTTACTCGGGTGTTCAATGCTAAATTCGGTATTTTTCGAAAACCAGGACTTGCAGGAAGCTGAAAATTTACGGTGATATTTATAAGGGCTTGTAGTATACAGCTACACGAATAGAAACACCATAGCTCCATTTTTGTGAAAACACGAAATTTTCGTTTTTTCAATTTCTAGGTGAGAAAGAATACAGCAACGGTACGTATGAGTGTCTGATGTAGTAAGCAATTTTTATAAACAAGTTGGAGGTTCGTAGGATTTTTTTAAACAAAGATATGGATTTTTCCTAATTTTTCGAGCCTTCAGTTCGACTCACGTTCCGGATGCAAACTTACGGTGGGCCGAAGCTGGTGCGAACTTTTGCAAACTACCTTGTAGAGCTTGGTTTGCTCTATGGAATGGTACCCTGGAGCCGTATTGAGACTATGAAGTTTACAATTTATCGTCGCAAGAAATCAAAGTGTAACAAGATCTATGTAACGACCTAATAGCATTGGGCGGAAAGAAGAGATCAGATGATATTATCTTGCCCATGGTACGAACCAGGATGCAGTTCTTTGCTACGTGTCAATCGTGCACGTTTGGGTCTTCCAATTTCCTTACTTTGTGGTGAAAATGTAGCGATAATAGTGGTTAGACCAGAAACTATAGATTCTTGATTATTATTGCGCCTGGGAGATTTCATGCTTTCAATACATAGAGCTGAAAATTATGTTTTCAAATCAAAGTGTTACCTTAACATACTGGCTACGCAACTTAACTGATATGCCTACGAGGGAGCAATGACCAGGCCACTCGAGTTTAGTGGAATCTATTTTAGGATACATCAAGTACGGATAACAGATTATTTTCATGCACTTAGTGATTTTTCGAAAGCACTAATGATTTCTACGCAACGACGCGCGAGGTCGGCTGTTGATGCAGATTTGTGAATTTTGATTTTCGCGGTAGTTTACAAGGTTAATAGTAGCCAGAATTATGTGCGTTTGATATTTCAAACTCAAAGATTGACGTTAATACTACGCGTATACATATATGCTCGAGTAATTGAAAATTAGCCTTGGATTCTGTCTTCGCATTACAAAACATAGAATAATATTCAATATTCGAAAATACGATGTATCAAAAAATAAATAAATACTGAAAAAGGAATATTTGCTCGACAGATTAGGGTAACTCAGGTGTAGATGCTGTGAAACAGGTTGTAGTATAAAAATTCAGACATCTTCTATCAGTGCATAGTCGGAATGACGAAGGTGCAACGGAGCTGAGATAGGTAAAGTTTTACAATCCGTGCCTTGGAGCTGATAACGTTGACTTCTCTTTGTTTACAATGCAGCGTTTGTGCATTTTGCTGTTAATTCTGAAATTGTCTACAGCTGAGGTAAATTTATCTAATATAGTCTATTATTCTTGGTAATGCGTGATTTTTCCAGGACAGATGCTCGCTGTGTCTAAAAATTGTTACTTCCTCAAAAAAGGAAGGAAGTGGTGAGACTTTACATTATTATTGATTATATGGGCCATCAATAAAATGTATCGATCACTGGTTTGGAGAACTAATGATAAAACCAATGGTCTTTTGGGCCTTTTGGTCCACAACAGACAGCAATTAACTTACTTTCTAGAAAGTGAACAGCAAACAAAAGAGCGAGCTCTCAAAGCTGCATCGTCGTTGTCTTCTACTGATCGTTCTGTGTACACCAATGAGTTGAAGTATGAACAAAAATATTGAGCAGAATTTGATTAGTTAATTAAAAATTGGGTTCAGCTGTCACTGGATAAAATACTATGGAGATGCTAATATGGCAAAACCACCGAGCTCACATTCGATTTGTGCAGATACTGGAATGTGCCCGTTACAGGTAAGCTCAAGCACCAGCCCTTACATTCATTTCGAATTTAGAACTTATGATTACGTCTTATCGAGAAAAACTTGATTTATGGTCATTTGATAGTCAGCGCAGTTCAAATTCCCCCCCCCCTCCCCAGTTAGCATCACAAATGAATTTACTATCTGTCTACAAAATTCATAAAATTTGTGAAGCAGTCAATTTGAAATCCTCGAACGCCTGTGCCCTGTCGAAAAGACCCTCTTTATAAGTTGAAAACGGATGAAATTCGACATAGGTGAGAAATGCATGTATATGGAGAGATTAATGGAGAGATAATGGGATTTGCGTTAACGTTCATGGAATATTTTCACTGAATTCGTTCAGTAGAAGTTACAGATTCTCAAGATAAATAGACTGTTTTCAAAAGAGATGGCGAATTGAATCCATTAACCTGAACAACTCTAACATCATACTTTGAGATACTATACAACATGGTCTTTGAAAAGGATAAATTCAACTTTAACATCATTCTCTAACGACTCTAAAATGTCGCCTCTTAGATGAAATTTTCTCATGAAAATTACCTTACAAGTTTGATCAGTGCAAAATACAGACAAGAACTGGAAGTGTCACGCTATTATAGTAATCATTTTTTTGCATACATTAGTATTTGTTTCAGTATCAAAATCCTACGAGTTTCAACATCGTGGATATTACAAATACCACCAAAAATTATGGCATTACTTGTACTATGCCAAAAATCATCCTAGTACATCACACTGCTACAAAGTCATTCGATGATACTCTTTCTGCTTTGAACTCAAGAGGACTTTCCGTTCAGTACATAGGTTAGCCTTATGCGACTTACCAGAGGGTGACTGAGGTAGTCTAGTTATTCCAGTTTCGAAAAAAGGAACAGTTTACCAACAAGTTCGCGACTTTTATCGTGCATGGCATGCTGGTGCGGGAGTATGGCGAGAGGTCACCGACGTGAACAGCTATAGTGTGGGAATTGAGATTGTCAACACTGGAGACGAACCTTACCCACAAGAACAGGTGATAGTAGAAACCAAAGATAGAGAAAGCTATTTGTAGCTCGAAGAAATTCCATTCAATGGTAAGCTTACGGGACGCTCCCGCTTAGTTGAAAAAGTTATTTGGAGAAAATAAATATTTTGTAGAGGATTCATTAGAAGACTGGACATTTTTTGCGTCTGATCAAGGTAGTTTTGGCTTAGAAGAGACAGCAGACGGTAAGAGGGACGAAAGCGCGTTTGATTTAAGAGACGCCGACAGCGTTCCGCAATGACGTCCTGTCTCTGCGTGTGATAAATTGCTCAAAATAGTCAATGAAATCAACATGCCTTTTGATGCATAAGGGGGTGAATTTGATTTGGCACAATTTTGAACTCTGGCACGCTGACAATAAGCTTGATTTTTGTAAGGCCATCCAAGAAATAAATTTGAGATACGATTTTAGATAAATGCTGTGAGCTCACTTGTGGTTATGCTGAAGCACCGCTGGCATGTTCATCCGAATTACATCATAGCTCATGCCGACATCACGTAAGACCCTTATTTTGATGAACTATTTTTGAATTTTGACACTTTTGCTCTTCGATATCGATATGTTAACTTCCTGTTCCTGAAAATTTTCCAGACCCGAGAATAAGGATGATCCAAGCGGATATTTCCCGTGGTCAACCCTGTACGAAAAGGTCTCTATCTATCCTGGACTATTTAACACTTCCATGACTCATTCGAGACAGCATGGTGTGATTATTGGCAAGAACGTTACCTACACAGCCGCACGATTGGAGCAAATTCAAAATGATCTGATGGAGTAAGTCGAACTTTGGCTACCCTACCACTTTTAGCCTTCTAGGTTGCAGGGGGGGGGGCGGGCGTTAGGTACCCAGTCGAGCTGCGGGCGTTAGGTACCCAACCATTAATGGTATACTTTAAGCCACGCCCCTTGGTTGCTTCAACAGCGGGTACCTAACGAACACCGAATCCTAGCTGCTAGAACAGCCCATCTATCTCGCTACAGCGCTAGGGCTTGCGACCCACAGAAAAAAGATAGTTTGAGAATCAACGAAAAATGCGCGAATGAAAGCGCAAGTTTGTACACAACATTTTTTCTATTGCTTTTTTTATTCACTTTAGAATCATAGAAATCCGATGAAGAAAGTTTAAAAAAAAAGGCAGAGCTTTTACGTAGCACTTCACACAGTGTGCAAAATTGTGATAGTCTAATCTAACCGATAATGTCCCAGGAATTACAAAATAAAGCTTTGTAGAATTCCAGTAAACCAGAATTTTATTATTTTAATGAAGCAAAGCGGACTTTCGGAGACGCTCCTGGCAAACAAGTTGCACGAAATATTTCCTTGTTCCAAAAAAAACTGCTTTATATTTGACAATGAGAAGTAGAGCCGATTGAAAGAAGAGCTTGGACGAGAATTTATCATCAGGAATCGGAACTTTCTGGAGGAATATGTGACCCATTAATTTTTGGGAAGGGCACTAGCTCTGTTCCAATCAATGAAAAATCTGCATTACAGAGCTGTCAATTTCGATGATTGTGTGCTAAGAATGAAACAGGAAATCATTGTCATAATCTTTAGCTTTTTAGTGAGTTACAAAAAATTTGTGGCTTTGGTTGCATAAATTGATCATAGTTTGGCTGCTAGAAAAGTGAATGAATATGACTGCATCAAGAAAGTCCTCCAAAAAAGCAGAAACTAGGCATGATCAAATACGGTAGCTAAATGAAATCTTCATACGGGATAAAAATAAAGAAAAAAGTGTGCGCTTATCAATGTAATCTTATATATAAAGCTGAATGTCTGTTTGTATGTCTGTCTGTCTGTATGTCTGTCTGTCTGTATGTCTGTCTGTACGTATGTTCCGAATAGAAAATTCCATTTCTGAACCGATCCGGACCAAACTTGGCACACATACACTACGGGCCCCGGCGGGTGTCATAGGCTACTTTTCGTCATCGATCGATATCGATTTTATCGATTTTTATCGATTTTTTTGCTGAGTTCACCTACGGGGCTGGGAGTTTGCACAGGGGGGTAATCGAGCATGGGGATTCCGAATACAATATTGGTTTTCAGGATTATCGATTACTTTTATCGATTTTATCGATTTTTTTGCAAAGTTTGAGCTACGGGGCTGGGAGTTGGCACAGGGGGGTAATCGAGCATGGGGATTCCGAATACAATATTGGTTTTCGGGATTATCGATTACTTTTATCGATTTTATCGATTTTTTGCAAAGTTTGAGCTAGGGGGCTGGGAGTTGGCACAGGGGGGTAATCGAGCATGGGGATTCCGAATACAATATTGGTTTTCAGGATTATCGATTACTTTTATCGATTTTATCGATTTTTTTGCAAAGTTTGAGCTAGGGGGCTGGGAGTTGGCACAGGGGGGTAATCGAGCATGGGGATTCCGAATACAATATTGGTTTTCGGGATTATCGATTACTTTTATCGATTTTATCGATTTTTTTGCAAAGTTTGAGCTAGGGGGCTGGGAGTTGGCACAGGGGGGTAATCGAGCATGCTGATCATCCCCAAGGGGGGTGATCAGCATGCTCGATTACGCCCCTGTGCCAAATTCCAGCCCCCTAGCTCAAATTTTCAAAAAATCGATAAAATCGATAGAAGTAATGGACGATCCTGAAAACTAATATTGTGTTCGTAATCAGCATGCTCGATTACCCCCTGTGCAAAATCCCAGCCCCGTAGCTCAAACTTTGCAAAAAAAATCGGTAAAATCGATAAAAGTAATGGACGATCCTGAAAACTAATATTGTGTTCGTAATCAGCATGCTCGATTACCCCCCTGTGCAAAATCCCAGCCCCGTAGCTCAAACTTTACAAAAAAAATCGGTAAAATCGATAAAAGTAATGGACGATCCTGAAAACTAATATTGTGTTCGTAATCAGCATGCTCGATTACCCCCCTGTGCAAAATCCCAGCCTCGCATGTCAAACTTTGCAAAAAAATCGATAAAATCAATAAAAGTAATCGATGATTCTGAAAACTAATATTGTATTCGGAATCCCCATGCTCACTTCCCCCCCTGTGCCAACTCCTAGCCCTGTAGGTGAACTCTGCAAAAAAATCGATAAAAATCGGTAAAATCGACATCGATCGATAACGAAAAGTGGACTGTGACACCCGCCGGGGCCCGAAGTGTATGTGTGCCAAGTTTGGTCCGGATACGGCGGAGCCGGGTAAGCCAGCTAGTATCCCATAAATCTGCTGGCCTCAGCAATGACCGAAGTGATAGCCTTAATAATCTGCGTTAATGTAGTTCACAATAGCTGTGTCAATAAACGCAAAAGGACGACCCTTGACTTCACACCTCCAAACGAGACCGAGGACAATCTGTGAAAGGAATATCCGTGCAACTTAGGCCCGTATGCACGTACATCCCCGCTGGGGAGAGGAGGGGATCTGAGAGGGGATGCGTCATATCTCGCTACTCTAGATATCTTTCTTCTTCCTTCTCTATCTTGCTTATGAAGGTTCTCATATACTTATACCTGCGCATATTGGATGCCAGGTTGCTGGCATAATTGATTAGATTTTCACTATTTTGTGTGATCCCCTGGAGATCCCCAGGGGATCACCTCTCAATTTCAATGCCATTTATCTCTCTGAAGACTAAATAAAAACGCTGTAAAATTGTACTGTAAATATACTACGGCACTGCTAAAGATGTTTATAGTAAAAATAAGTAAAATCTCAGGATATCGAAATCTTCGGTAATCCCTAGCCCGCGAGCTAGGGATCATCGAAAAAATCGCAATCTTCAAATTCCATTTCTTCTGTCGAAAACATGCCTAGCAGTGCCGTAGTATATCCTCAGTACAATTTTGCAGCATTTTCAATGACTTCTCTCTAAGATAAATGTGACTGTGAAAGTAAGACGTGATCCCCTGGGGATCCCCAGGGGATCACACAAAATGGCAAAAAACCAATCTTGTATGGCAGTAATCTGGCATCCACTATGCGCAAGTATAAGGGTACGAGAACCTTTCATAAGCAAGATACAAAAGGAAAAAGAATGATATCAAGAGTAGTGAGATATGACGCATCCCCTCTCGGATCCCTTCCCCTCCCCAGCGGGGATATACGTGCATACGGGCCTTATTTGCCAGGAGCATTTCCGAAAGTGCACTTCTTCATTAGAGTCATAAAATTTTGGTTTGTCGGAATTCCATAGAGTTCTTTTTTTTTGAGATTCTCCCTGACATCATCGCAGATCAGATTATGACAATTTTTCTGTAAAACTATGTGAAGTCTCATAAAAGCTTTACCCTGTTTTTAACTTTCATCACCGAACTTTTGTGATTTTAAAATTGATGGAAAAAGAAGCAATAGAAAAAATGTTGTGTACAAACTTGCACATTCATTCGGGCAATTTTTTTTTGATTTTCTCGAACAATCTTTTTCTGTAGGTCACGAGCGCCAGCGCTTTAGCGAGCTAGGGGAGCTGTTCTAGCAGCTAGGATTCGGTGTATCGTTAGGTACCCGCTGTTGAAGCACGATGGGGCGTGGCTTAGAGTATACCACTAATTGCTGGGTACCTAACGACACGCACCCAGGTTGCAGGAAGGGTAGAAGGAGTAGAGAGGGGGCCTATTGTAAAAGGGAATGCAGGGTCTCTTGTAGAAGGGACTAGGGTTTTACAGGATCTATGATAATTCTAGTCGTTTAAGTAGGCTAGTGATGCCACAGAAATCTAAATTCTTGAAGCAGTTTTTTGATGCGGAAACCCTCTCTCCGTGAGAAAACCACCTTCTATAGAATTTTGTTATATCTCTAGCAGACCTCCTCCGACTTTTAAGGCTTAGCCTATTCCCTCATTAAAAGGGAATCTCCCCCTTTCCTAAAAGAAATATCTGGAAACCACATCAGCCATAGTGGAAGGTGCAGTAACAAAAAATAGCGCACTTTTTTCCTTTGACTTCACGATTAAGTTTTTTTGTTCTTCAAAATTAGCAATACGATTTCGAAATCATCTTTACAGATTGGGATACAAATCTCTGATACTGAGGTCTGGAGTATACGACACTAACACAGCAATGGTGTTTCAAGTACGTGCTTCATAATTCTCATTAAAAGTTGGTGCTACAAAAATATTTAGGCTTTCAACCGCCACTTTGCACCAGAGATTTTCGTCAAAGAAAAAATAGGCTCTAATGATGAAACGCAGTATTATGAGTCAAATCAGTATTGGTACGGTATCTCACAGGAGCGCCTGCAAAAGCTTATGAGCTGATCTTGGCATAAATCCAATAAATCTTTTTTGCAATCTTCTTGTTCTCTTACGCAGACAAACTTACTGCCAAGCTCACAGGATACGTTTTCAAGAGTGAAAGGAAGGAGGGATGTCAAAATGTAACCGCTCTATGCAACAGCTAGGAATGGACACCTTGGTGTAAAAAAAACCGTCTAGAATTGAAGCGAAATCAAAAAGCTCGCATCTTGATATACCGTTCAGAGCTGCGAAGTCTGCGCGATAAAAAAACAGCTTATAAATAAGCGAGCGAAGAAGTATTTAAGACTATCAATTATCTTTACGATGACTATACTCTTTAGTGTCCTGATCGTAATTTAGGACTGCAATCGACAGATACGTACTTTGTTATGAGCTGAAAAACCTAGAAATATATAAACTTCAGCAATGAAAGAATCTCCCCTTTTCACCAAAGGTGGCTTCGTTTACAGCGCTATACCAAAATAGTTCAATGCTCGTGTTTTCGACTCTTTCGAGTCTTTCTAAAAATGGGCAGGGAGGGTTGCGGGTGTACCCCTTCGTGGACTTCCTGCTATTGCAGCAGGATGTCTGTGGTGCGAAAGTTGGGGAACTCACCTCCAACCACCGCGCTAGTAGCACGGACCCTCTCCCTGAAAACGGGTTGGTGAGAGCGGATTGCGGTGGTGCAGCTTCAAGCTTCTCTGAGGATCCGTATATTAACTTGCAAGCCCGACGTTCTCCCTCTAGGGTAGAAGGAGCTGACTATGAGACAGTCAGGCGTGCCCCAGACGAAATTTTTGACTCGACGAAATCTGAAACTGTGAACAGTAGTGGGAATTGAATCGCTCATCGCTCGTCGCTTCTAGCAATAAGAAAAAATCACTTTTGTACAGAATGGTGGTGAGAGAGAAGCAGTAAGTCTTCTCGGTAATCTTTTTCGCCATCTTGCAAATGCCAAAGCAAAACATGACCTTCCACTTTCGTCAGGCATTGCGTCAGGTAACTTTTGCTGCTCAAATTCGTTCGCAGTCTGTCAAACTTTGTATCTCCAAACTTGGCAGGTGAAAATCCCAAAGATTTACAACTAGCTAATTTAATTGGGCGTAAAGAGATTTAGTGAAAACAGTTTTTGAATTTTTCAAATAATCTCCTCTACCAATATTCCTCAGCGTTCATTTCGACTTCACTGAAATTGCCAAACGCAGCATAAAAAAATTGAACTATCAATTTTGCAGTCCTTTTGTACTCGTTTCCAATTTTATGATTGAAAAAACGTTTTGGCGACGTTTTCTGCGAAGAATACTTGAAGAAGATTCAACTATGTCGAACATGCAATTTTGATTCCCAAGCCAAAATCATATTTTTTTCTAGGAGTTAGAATATGCTCCATCTTTCCAAGGTCGTAGCAAATGTAAGGGGTGATCTAAAATCACATAGAACACGCATACGGGCAAAGCCATTTTTTGAAATTCCATTCAAGATCAGAGCGTTTTTCTACAGTGCTGGCCAAAACTATAGTTCCACTCTGAAAACTGCCGTAGCTCATCTGCTTCTCAACGAATTGATCAGAAATTTGACACAGTTGTATGTTTAGTAGGTCACCATCAATAACTAGAGTGGATCCCGTTTTTGTTTGATTATTCAGGAAAAAATCAAAAATTTCGAAAAAAGCAGGCTTGAAGATTGGCCAGAACTATAATTCCACCTAAGGTTTCTGTCCACTAAAGTATTAGGTTGGTGCAAAAGTAATGCGCGTTTTTCTAGCCCTTGGTTTACGACAACTTTTCTCCACCAAACTTTCTTCTTTGAAAAAAACTTAGCATAGATTCAAGAAGCTCCATTCATCCTCTATCCAATGATAGTTAAAACGAGCTTCTAGCTCCATTTGTTAAAAAATAAGAGAGCTTCACACAGCCGCACTCAAAACCACAATTTCATTGCATTTACTTCTCTGGCCAGAAATCAAGCCCGAATAAAAGCAAACTTTCGAAACTTCAGCTAATATATTCAATGGAAATTGTCTACATTATGCATGTTTTACTATTTTCTCAGAAATTATCTAGGCTAAGATTTCGGCTGCTCAACATGTGCAGTCGTTTTGATCATTCTGTGATCCATAAATTTCCTTTGAAGAGGGCAATCACCAGACCTTTGCTCATATCTGTAAGCGTAAGGGTAGATCCCCTATTGACCGTTTTTACAGAATTGTGTATCTGTTTGTTACGCAGAAATCCAAAAAAATTCCATATTTTGGGGTTTTTACGCCTGCGAAAAAATGTCTAAAAAAGCAGGTAATTTTGGCTTTGAATTTTTTTCCTTTTCGCAAATTCTCTCTGTTTGGTCCTTTTCCAATTTTTTTGTACTACAGGCTTCCGGCTACAACATAGGCTACTTGCCATCTATATTGACATATTCTGAAGAAAGCTAGGATTAGTTAAATTTGAACTTTCAGAAAAGAATTTTTTCTGCTTATCAGTCTATATTTTTCTGCCCGTTGGAGATATGAGTATAGGGAGATGTGCGCTGTATTGCGAAAGGTTTGGTGCCTCTAACGTTTTTTACCGCATTGGAAAATGTGGATTTTTTAGAAAGTTATAACACGTCAAAATGAGAACTCGCAAAACGCGCATTACTTTTGCACCAACCTAATAATTCTCGGCTTCCAAAATTTTTTGTGCACATGCATAATCAAAAGTCAAAACAGTCGCTTTAGTCCAGCTGTGTCATACCTTTATAAGAAACGCTAATCTGCTTCTTTTTGCTCAAAAATACTTTCATGCGTATTCTGTTCGAGAATGTGTTTTTATGGGTGATCTGCAATTTTTTGGCTTATTTGGAAGCGATAGAGTTTCACCTATCTTATAGATGCTCAGCGGAGAGAGCTAGAAAAAAAATTGAGTTTTCATATTCAAAGCGCGCCCGACATAGACCTAACAGCAGGCCTGCGTTCAAATTTTTGCCTTCAAAATTGGTTTATGTTATTTTTGTAAGCTCAAAATGATGTAAAGCATTATCTACATAAAAAGAAGTTTGTACACCATACTTACGATTGCTCGCCAAGTCACGTTTTGCTTCGTTCTCAAAGCATAAATCTTCGCGGTTCAATGGTAATATTTAGGCAATCCCAAAATACTTACCAAGTGGTATCTTTCCTGTTTTTGCCACTATTTAGCTGCTAGATAGTGAAATACCCCGTATTAAATGTTGACTTGTGACTCACATGAGCATTATGGTCTGAACCAAAAATAAGTTCAAGGCTTTTTGCAAAACAATTTTTGCACAATGAATTCCTCAATTTCCCTGCATGTTAGGAGACCTGCGCAAATCTTCAACCACTGCATCCAGACTCGCATACGTACAACAATGTTACTACTCTACTTCACGCTCATGAGAACATCGCAGAAAGAGTTTGAGGGCATGAATTTGCGCCTGCAGGCCTGCAGTTGAGTCTATGTCGGGTGCGCTTTAAATATAAAAACTCATTTTTTTGCTAGTTCTCACTTCGCTAAGTATCTGTAAGATAGATGGAGCCCTATGGCTTCCAAACCAGTCAAAAAACTGCAGAATCACCCATAAAAACACATTATCGGGAACAAAATACGCATGAAAGTATTTTTGAGCGAAAAAAAGCAGATAAGCGTTTCTTATAAAGGTATGACTGGAGCTGGACTAAAGCGACTGTTTTGACTTTTGATTATGCATGCGCACAAAAAACTTTGGAAGCCGAGAATTACTTTAGTGGACAGAAATCTTAGGTGGAATTATAGTTTTGGCCAACCTTCAAGCCTGCTTTTTTCGAAATTTTTAATTTTTTCCTGAATAATCAAACAAAAACGGGATCCACTCTAGTCATTGATGGTGACCTGCTAAACACACAACTGTGCCAAGTTTCAGATTAATTGGTTGAGAAGCAGATGAGCTACGGCAATTTTCAGAGTGGAATTATAGTTTTGGCCAGCACTGTATCAAAGTCGCATTTTTCAGAAACTGCATTCGATATCTGGAAAGAAAGTTACTGAAGTACTAATGCAAAAATAAGGATTGAACTCTTGGAATCATATGGTGAGGTTACGGTAGCTATGCATTATTTTCGAATGCAGATCAATGACGTCCATCTAGTTTATTACGATCTCATAGTGAAATTACGGTTACTATGTGGTGGTTTTCGATAACCATTAAATTGTTATTACAACGGGTCTTGCTCCTGAAACTACCATTCCTGTTAACATTCTGAAAACCCTTGTGTCATTTATATTGAGTACAGAGTACAGAGAGATTTTTTTTGAATACAGAGTTAACAAAGTCTTCTCCTACCCTTTCCTTTGAAAAATCATTCTGTTGAATCTTTGATATGGTTTTGTGCCTTTCGTCTACGGTATGTCTGGCGTAAAACTATCGCACATTTCTAGAACACAAATGAGGCTTCGCTTCGGTCTGTTCGTTCATGCGATAGACCCAAACATAAACTGCCATCGCTAAGCAGCGATGTTACGACTTTCAAATGTAACTCAAAAATAGGATTGCAATTTTTTGAAGAGATCTGGCTCTCAAAAAATCGGCAGCGAAGTCGCCATCGAAGGCAGTGGCTCGACGGCTGACGCCACGCCCCCTTTTTCCAGATTTTAGGGGTTGGGGACCCGCAAAAATTTTGAGAAGCACCCCTAAAATTTTTTCGGAGTGCGTGGCTAACGCCACGCACCTTCATTTGAAAAATTTTTTTGTCGCGCCCCCCCCGAGCGGAAATCCTGGGTACGCCACTGATATATACATATATAATTCTTATAAAGAACAAAATCGCGGTGTCAACAAAAAGAAGATTTGACTCGACAGACAGACTAGTAGACACATCCGATCAGCACAAAGTTCTCACATTCAAAAGAATAGAAACTGAAACCAAAATCGAACATTCTCTTGAACCTTTCAGCCTTTTTAATAATTAGAAATTGAAAAGAAATACAGTGTGACTGTTCCTACTTAACAGTCTGAGAATTTATGGACCAATTCAATGTTGGGTCCCAAAT